TCCCTGGTGGCCTAGGAGTTAAGTCTTAGTGCTATCAACACTATGGTCTGAGTTCAATGGCTGGCCAGGGAGCTAACACAGATGGCGCAGCAGACCTCTCCTGTCTCACCTGCTGCTCCCTTCAGCAGTGTATTTCAGTAGATCTGCCTGTTCTGCTTCCTACTCTGGCTCTGGTGAATTTTCTCATCCTGTGCACGTTGGCCTACACTCCAGTTCTTCTATGCAAAGCAAACAAATAACAGTTGCTGTTAACAGTATGGTAGAGATTATGGAAGATTATTAATTTATATCTTATACTTTTTTGTTTTATTAGAATATCTTCTGATCCGTAGTCAGACGTGTTATCTATTGCACCACTGGCCCACTTGTTTTATTAGAATATCTTTATGAATAATAAGCCAAAATTTTTTTAGAAGAACAAGCAGTACTTTCAGGATTAATAGGAAATGAAGTCTTTGAATCAACTTTAAGAAATAAGGTCTATCAATAAAAATATTATTTTTCTTCATAATGAGTTTATATTACACTCATACCAATAAAGTGGAGATTAAATTGAAAGTAACACTATCAGGATGATGTTGAGATCATATTTATTAATTTCCTTCAAATTAACATTAAAAACAATAAGTATATACAGGTTTTTCTATGTCATTTATTCAGACAACACATCTCAAAATGGTTTTTGTGGTTTGGTAAAGAAATAGATAGAGACATTTACTTCTGAAATGAAGTGAAAACTTTCCTTTTAAGTCATACTTTATTAAAGGATACTTAAAGCATGATTCTCCCAGAGAACCAAGATTATAGATTGTTACAGGTTATTTCCATTGTCTTCTTATCTCTTTTCTATGTTTTTCAAATTCTCCATAATAATCCTAAATTACTTTTGCAATCAGAAAAAGAGGGTCTTTTTCTTAAGGAAAGAAAAAATTACAATAAAGTTAGGTGTCTATAAATATAATACAATATGTCTGATCTATGTCACTCTGCCTGTACTTTCTAGAAGACATCAAGTAGTTCTTTCTCTTAGTGAATGAAGTTTGCAGACTGTTTACAAACTGGGATTAAATGAACTGTATTGTGGTCATGCTGGTCCCCAGTACTATTTAAAATGATGAAGCAAGGTTCAATGTGCATGTCCTGACAAGCTACATTTAAATGTCACTACTAAAATGACTATACAGGCTTTGCAACAGTCTTCTATAGAACTACAAAGAAAGGTCAAAGAAAAGCTGATGGTTAGAAAAACTCCAGCCCTTTCTGCCTACTTTAGCTAACACTAGATGATATGCAGCAAATGCTTCGAGATTATTCAGTGAAGGTATGAAACTGCAGCTTTGGTGTGCTATGTGAAAAGAGAGAGAATATGAGATTGAAGAAGGCTTCTTCATGTCTTCATGATGACTAAACCTTTAAACGTCTTTATGTGATTAATTTTTTAACACAAAGGTTTTGAGGTCCTTGCATCAAAATTACTAAGTAAATACTAGGAGGCATGCACTTGGTCCGACAGCATATCATAATTATAGTGTGCTTTTAACTACCTCGAGCCTTTCTGTTTCTCATTTCAGCTTCTAAACCTTGTAATATTTCTGACTCATTAGCTTTCACCCTAGGGGTAACTCACAAGCTCCATAAAAGTGTGGCTATTTTTCTGAAATCTCTTTTCTACCAAGTGCTTCCACTTGTTTTTTAACCTCGGAAAGTCCATTTGCACAATGAAGAGCGATCAAATAATTTTGTCTCCCTCTTTTATAGCTTCCTTTCTCTAAAAATGTCCTATTGATATTATGAGCACATAAATGAAGGCCAGTTCTTCATCACAACTGGAGCTCTAAGTTAAGAAGGAGTTGGGTGCAGGTGGTGTTAGCACTTTCCGGCCAGACTACTCCAGCCTTGGCCCAACTGATAGTTTGGGCTGGAGAATTTTCTTGTGAAGGGTTATTCTCTCCTCTGGAGGGTGCCCCGCAGTATCTTTACCTTCTACCTACTAGGTGTCAGGAGTGCTCTGATCGCCAAGCTTGTCTCCAGACAGTGCCACGTGCGTCCTCATGGACCAAAAGGACCCTGACTGAGGACCATGGCATTAGACTAAGGCACTGACAAACCAAATTGTTGTGTCTTTGCCGATTCAGATCGTTCCTTTGATTCCATGGCTCACCTTTATCTACCTAGTCATTCACCAACACAAAATAGGCACTCACAAATGCCTTGACATGTTAAAGAACTTGAATGCTGTTTTTACTCTGAGCCCTGAGCGATCAGCTTAGCTAGAAGGAGAGAAGCCAACCGTGGAAACTCTCTCCCACCCTCTATTTACATGGGTGTTTGTGATTATCATTTTTAATGTCTGTAAATTCATAATGTCTTGGGAAAGCACTTGGTAGAAAGAGATTTCAGAAAAGAAGTCTTGACTTCTTTGTCCACTAACTACACTTGGCCCCAATGAATATTGTTTAAACTACAATTTTATTTAATTAAATACATTTATTCTGCCTTGCAATTGTTTATCTTATTTGGCACCTAAATGTACAATTATAATCTAACCTCAAAATACTTATTTTCTGAAATTATCCTACTGCCTATTAATTAAAACTGGGGGAAGGGATTTAAAGAATAAAACTCACACACAAACTTTACCTAATATATCCCACAACAAAGCAACACAAACCACCTTCTATAAAGTTTATTTTTATACCTCCTAATGTGTATAAGCATTTTTTTTTCTACTTATTCCAAGATGTCTGGTGTTTGAAGTACCAAGGAAAATAGGCCAAGGGGGTGATTTCTCTATGGGAAAAACATTATTAATAAATTCTCTCTAAGGAAAACTCTAAAAAAGTGGATCTATCACTACTAGATTCAGAACCTTGAGAAGAATTAGTGTCTTACAACCTGTTTCATCTTTGGTAAAATGAGATGACGCTACCTATCCTGCAGGGCTATTATGTTGAATCACATAATCTGTTAAGCTGTTAGCTCTACATCTGGCACACTGTCTTGTATGTCATTTTCTATGCTACCTCCCAGCACTAGCTAAATAATTTGTGAGGTTCAGTGCAAAATGAAAATGCGGATTTCCTTATGTAAAAATGGTTCAGAATTTCAAGATACTAAAACACGTGTGCAGCCCTTCTAAGTGTGGGGTCCTGAGTCACCACAGAGGTTTATGCTCATAAAGCCAGTTCTGCTTGCTCCCCTAGTTTTTAAGGTTCCACTCGTCTATCTTTTCATTAAATTAAAATGTGCTTTTCAATTTGACAATTCAGAGAAAGCCAAGCAGTCAACTAAAGAGGGCTATATTATGTCTGCTGTTTTTCAATGCTAGCTCAATTGTAGTCAAGCTGTTGAGGGTTAGTGAGCCTAGGGCTCTTGTAAAGGTGCTGTTTCAGGCTACCATGCTATTTCGGGGGTTTATATCACTTTTAACATGTTAGAATTAAATAGACCTCCGCTGTCTACAAGTAATTGGATTCAAGGGCAGACCAAGAGGTACTCAGTGGTCAAAGAGGCACTTAATTGGAAAGCTCTTTATCTAAATTTCTCAAACAGCATTCACAAAGCAGCATAGCTCCAAATCATTTTCTTAGATCCTAGCCTTGATGGAGTCCTACAGGGAATTGGCCCAGACATCTAAGAATAATATACTCAAAAAGGAAGACCTCCTCTCCATACCCAGCTCTGCCTGGCACTCCTTTTCCCTTATGTATTCGTATGTCCTTTAAAGGTTTTGACAAGATTTTCATATACTACTCATAAGAACAAAATCATGTTTTAAAAAATGTCTGTGTATGCATATATAGGTTGTGAATGTTCACAAATTGCAGGTGCAAACACACATATACAGGCACAAAGTGCATTTCTAAAAAGGATTTATTTCTTTATTCATACAGAACTGGGGTACAAGCCAGAGGTGGAGGAGGGCGAGAATATCCACCAGACACAGAGTGGGGAGCAGAACATGAATTAAGCAACAATCAAAATGCAGCCAACTGACATGTTTTGAACTACTAAACGTGAAGAGGCTCCCTGGCAGTTCTTCATACCGTGTTTGTTTTATTTTTTAAATTAATTAATTTATTTATGCATACAAGGACTGAGGTACAGACCAGCGGAGGTGCGGGGTGGAGACAGAGAGAGAGACAGACAGACAGACA